GAGAGCTGTTTCCTCACCACTGAGCAGGGGCCCACTTCCCATGAAGCAACCAGCTCCCTGGTAGTATTTGAAGGGATGTTTTCACTAGCCATTTAGTTTAGAAGGGTAGCTTGTGGTAGGTCTGTGTCCTTCCAGGAACTTTAATGCTGCTTAAAGAAGCTTAGTGGCCATTTCAGCCCCTGTGAGACCTGAAGCTTGGAAATTTAAAGCAGGTCCCTCGACTCCCGTGAACTACCAGTTTGCATGCAAAGACAGCCTTGGAGGATGTAAATCTGCTGACTCATTCAGAAGAGCAAGTGGCTGAGCTTAAGTGGATGGGAACACGTGGCAGTTTGTTTGTCATTTCTGCATCAAAGGTTTGCATCAGATGAAATTATTGCAGTCAGGATACGGCTTGAGGAATGAAGAATCTGCCTGCGGATTGTCAAGCTGCTGTGTGCTGGGTGGTGTTGTATTATGGAACACTGACTGAACATCATTTGACAGAAAGGAAAGGCAGTGGGGGGCGGGCAGGACCCTCTTGTCACGGTAATAGGTGTGTATTCACCGCTGTAGGCAGAGCTGTCTCGGAGGAGTGGGCCTTTCCAGCTGGCTAAGGGCTGCTGCTGTGGTAACAAGCATTAATAGCTCCTGAAGGCAGATGATGTGGTACAGAAATCACCTCCCCACACATCCTCACAGGTGCTTGCACTTTCTGAAAGTGTGAAGGGCTGCTCGCCCCTGTGCCATCCTGCCGGGCGTCTGGCTGCACTGCGCTGGCTATGTTGCTCTGCACTATCATTTTCGGGGTGGACGAGAGTAGACAAGAGCTTTAGATCCAGCGGGCACACACAACCCAGCTGTGTAGAGCAGCCTACTTGTGGGAGTTAAGTGCAGCGCCTTGGATAACACCAAATGTGATTCGCAAGGAATGAAATTTTAACTCTTGGGTTGTTCACACTGCAGAAGTACATTTCAAATCTGTGTTTTTTGGGCTAGAATTATAGTTGTTGCTGCTTCTGTGGTGACAAGCACAATCACTCTTGACACTGCTTTGCAACACTTGGGAAGCGGGGAGCAGAGTCAGTGTTCAAGGTGATGGCAGGCAGCTCCGTACCTCAGACTAGCACTGTGATGCAGACATGACTTGATTACACTGTTGTTACTCCTCCGATGGACTCTCCAACAGAGGTCTGTCAAATAATTCATCTTGGAGATGAATAAAGGAGCTTGGCTGCAGGAGACCCAGCATTGTCAGTGTTGTGGGAAGTGCTCTCAGTCTGTGCTTTTCTTACTGGTCTTTGGAGTATGAGTAGATTATATGCTTCTAGCAATTCTCACTTGATTAAAGATCTTCACTGTAGATGAGCTTAAATGCTAGCAGAAACAGCTGGAAGAACTAGGAGCTCTTATTAGGAGTTAACGATAATCTGAGTGGAGATGCATGCTGCTCTCAGGGGACTGGGCCCAGCATTAAGACTGGTGTATCAGTGGAAGTCCTGTTGCAAGTCAAGACAGAGGCAGCTGAGGTCACAGGGGAAACGACAGTTTGGAAGAACAGCAGAGTAGGCTGGACGGTACTGCAAGACAGTGTGGATGGGAAGCATCAGGTGGGTATGGGAAAGAAATTAATCAAGCTAGGCTGGACCTTCAGAGTCAGCTGGATAGCTGCTTGTGGTCTCAGTGGGTGTGGGCTCAAGCTTCAGTTAGTGAATGAAAGGAGACAGCGCACAAGTCATCCTGTCTTTGCCCATCCTGTCTTTTCCTATACCTATAGGTAAAAGTGCTAAAATACTTCCAAATAACCATTCACATTCAGAGTTTGTAGCATTACTCCAGAGATGCTAGTAGTGGAGGTAGTACATCCAGGATGATCATATCTCTTTACTCAGCAGCATTCAGAGAGCCTTGGTGGTACTTAGTTCAAAACAGAACGTGATTTTAAGTTTTTATGAAGATGGCGTTAGGTGAGAGCGAGAGAGGAAGCTGGCAAACATGGCCTTTGGATTCAAAGCTGTGAAGAACGTCAGTACCCAGAACAATGACGTCCAATAGTTGGAGGTTAATAAATGGTTTTCCTGGAGCACTGAGCCTTTCACAGGATAAGAATTATGGATCTTCTCTGGCTGTGTCAGCCTGAGAAGATACCCTCTTCTCTGGAGTGGAATCGGGTGCCAGGTCTCTATAACAGAACTTCCCTGCGAGGGCTGCTAATTTGGTTACGTGTTTGTTTGCAGCACATAAGGAGTTACGCTGAATAATCCAGTGGACAGAAAGATGTGAAGGCAGGTGTTTCCATCCTTTCAGTACCATTGAGGAGGCAGTAGTATTAACACGATAAATTTAATGAGTCCTTGTTTTTTGGGTTTGATTTCTGCCTCTAGCTGTGTTTCTATTCCATGTTGCGTAAGCGTATCTTGTTATTCTGTAAATAAAATGAGTATGTAATAGAAGTGAGAAATGAGTTTACAGAAAACACATTTTATTGCAGGCCTAAACGATTTCTCTTAATGTCTATTTTTAGCTGGGTGGGTGCACTCCTTCCCTTTCGTAACCCAAAGGCACCTCTCTCATTCTTTTTTTATGCAAATCAGGCCTCCCACATCATTAAATCATTTTTTATTGACTACTAAGCCTGCAAAGAAATGGACTGAACTTTAATATGCTACATTACCATACCATAAAACACAATTTGTAGATCTTATTTAGATTCTGCGTTGCTGCACTTCCTCTAAATAATTGTTATTACTGAAGAAGATTTACAGGCACAGTTGCAAGAAAGAATAAATACTCTGCATTTTGTATGCATTGAAACACCGGCTGTGCATGATTTCACATCTAAACCCCCTTGCTCCCACTTTTCTGAAATGAAACAAGTCACATTATGCTGTTAGTTGCTAATAGAGCTTTTAATATGGCAGCATCCAGAACTTCTGCTGACTGCAAACAGTGCCAGGATTTCACCCCTTCGTTTGTGCTGCTAAGTTTGTGCTAACTTTGCAAACAACGTGTTTATCTCCAGGCTGTGAATCCTCACTTTGCACATCTCCATCCTCATTACTGCCACATGCACGGCGTCAGCTGCTATGCAGCACTTGGCAGGAAAATGCTCTGTTCCTTGGGAAGTGCAAGTAAAATACTGTCCTCCCACAAGCTTTTGAATAAGGCTGCGCACATACTCAGCTTGACAAGGTACATGGCCTTCCTTTCTGTTATTGTAGATAGCTGCAGCCTCTGGGAGCCAAGGGAAGGGATGCATGCTGAGATCTTGTAATGATTAACCAGAGAGAAATGTACGTGAGTCACTCGTGAAGAGTGTAGCTCTTACCAAGGAGCTAATGTTTTGCTCGTGTTGACAGCCTTGGAGAATGACATTTATCTGTAGCACAACCTAGGGATGGCTGAGAAGCATTCGAGCGTTTTCTCAGCCACGTCTCACCCTTCCTCTAGAAGGACTGCTTCAGAAGTGGAAGGGTGTTCAGCCATGCTGTCGTTTCAGTACATGATCGTTTTCAGTGTGCCAACAGAAGTGCTATTTGCGGTCCCCGTCTCATGTCAGGCCAAGGAGAAACCCTTTCATGGTCAAGCAGGACTGCCTTTGAGATGCTCTCCTGCTCACCTCTAACCAGCAAGCTCCATGTCGGCATGCCAGCTCCCCACAGTCATCTGGGTCTCCCAGCGTTTTGGAACTGGCAGAGTTTCAACGCTATGTAAGAAGAATTTTCAGGCTAATTTCCCCCCTCACAGAGACTTCCTGAGAATATTCACTACCTTTAAAAGTCAGGACATTTAAGGCTGCGTCTAATTTGAGAATTATTTATCTGAATCTGGAGCCTGAATTAGTCATTTCGAATTGGACTCTTGAATTGTCGATACTTACTGCATTACCACATCAGTTAAAAAAAAAAAGAGGAGTCTTTGAGCTTTGTGTTCTACACATTATCACTGCAAACAGGTTATGGACCAAAGCAATGGCTGCTGTATGAAGAGAGAATTACTTTATACATATGCATGCATACATACATAGATCTAAAAACACACTTGTCCTTTTCAGTTACATGTAGCAGTGAAAATGGAGTATCACTTTTGAAAGGATTTAATCTATAATAAATCTAGGATTAGAATAGACTATTTCAATTGGAAGGGACCTGCAATGATTATCTAGTTCAACAATGAACTAGTCCAAATCCTGAGAAATGTTAGTTCAACCATGAGATGTTATGAAATTTAACATGAGAAATTATTTGATTAACAAATTGAAAATCAAGCATATTAGTATGCCTGTAACTTTTTTCCCTAAGAAAACCACTAAGCTAGTTGCTGATAGCTGAAGAAAGTAAATGACTGAGCAGTCTCTTCCAAGAACTCCTTTGTTTTTCTGCACAGTGTGTATAAGGAAGTAAATGTGTGAATGCACAATATAAATGTCTATGATAAAAGCCTTTTGATTTTAATAGTCTCTAAAAAGTTGAGATAGCTGTCTCATAAACTAGACAGATAAGCAAAGAGAAATACTTTTAATCATCTTTTAAAATGTGGAAATACTCTTTTAAATAAGTTATCTAATGTCCAGATCAGTTGTATCCTATTACTCTGACATGTTTAAAGTTCTCAGGAGACAGTGATGGCTTATTCTGTTCTTTTTTTCCCTCGGATTATTTGGAAATACATATGATGGCTCCAAGTGGCTACCAGCTCTGCTTCCTTAAGGCTCAGTCCAGCACTGTTTACATTCCTGATTGAGGAATACTTAAGGCCTACTCTGTCAGAACAACACCTAAAGGTGTCCATGAACATCTCTATAGAGCCCTTAGCATTAAAAAAAAAAAAAAAAAATCCGTTCAGTTAATTCACTTGTGGTGGTAAGTACTAACCTTAGTAGTAAGCACTGTGCAGGATCATGGCCTCATGTTTTAGTATGCTTACCGGGAGACGATCTGTAATTAGTGTGAAGAAAGGTCTCTGACTTATTTCAACTAATGGTAGGGTGCTTTTTGTTTTGTGGTGTTTTTGGTTTTCAGCTGAACTCTTCATGGAACAACAGCATCTCAAAGAAGCAGGCTTTTGTATCCAGGAGGCAGCTAGTCTTTTCCCCACATCTCATGCTGTACTGTACATGCGTGGGAGGCTTGCAGAGATGAAAGGCAATTTGGAGGAGGCTAAGCAATTGTATGATGAAGCACTCACTGTGAATCCAGCTGGAGTGGAAATTATGCACAGCCTGGTGAGTTTGCAGGGGCTCAGCTCCATTATAGTATTTATGTTCCTGATTAACTGTAATAAGAGGGGAGAGGGCTCACGCTTCCTCTGGATGCCATTGTCTTCCTAATCCTGAGTGCAACTGACTGTTCCAAGAATAAATTGAGTAGCTTGAACCTCTATTTTAAGACTGGATTGAATGTTTTTAACTAATTAAGACTTGTATCAAAAGTAAATATTTTAATTGACAAAGGCTGATAGTTTTGGAAGTCAGTTCACTGCTTTGTCTCTGCTGCTTTTCCTACTAAGTGTTCTGCATTTTACATAAACTGTTTCCAATATACTGATGTTTGAAAGTTCAGAACTAAATAACTATAGAATATAAATATAGACAGGGTTTGTGAGCCTTGGGCTGGAGTCTTGTGTCTACTCAAATCAAGATAAACTGAGTTTACAATAAAATTAAGCTGTTATCTTAAGCTGCAGCTTAGCTCCAGCCTTGCGTAGGGGCAGTGACTCCGCATTTGTGGGGTTTTTTGGCAAAGCTTCTATCCAGCAAGGTTTTTTTCTGTTGCACCATCCTCGGAAAACAAAGTTATTTACAGACACAGGGCCTAGAGTTTAATAATGGCACAGGGAGCTTTGTGGAAAACCAAACCCCACTTCTCTTATGAAATCACAACAGTAAATCATATTTCATCAATGATATGTCTTGTTAACTGTAGCCCTTACTAAGTCTCTCTGGGATTTTAGAAGTCTTTCTTGAATAATTTAATTCTTAGCGGAATTCTATATCCATGTGACTGCTGTGTGTCTTTGCTAGCAGATTTGTATTTCCAGGCATAAAATGGTCCTGATGAGGTTTGCAGGCAGCTCCAAAACTGAAGGTTTATCAGTGCACAGGAGGACAAACAGAAGGTGAAGTTATAGGTGAAATTAAAATAGAACCTACAGGCAAGGGGCGAGCTATTTGGTAATAATGAATGTTCAGTGCAAAACCAGGAAATGAGTAGCTGGTGCGTATGTCAGGAGAAGGTTATAAACCAGCTATGCACATATTAGGCTTATGTGGGACAACAATGTTACTTTGTTGCTGTGATCCAACCTTTACAAAACCAGTTGGTAGAAACCTGGCAAGGTAAAATGATGTTCTTTGATCAGTTAGCGTCATGATTTCAGGCAAGTCACAGATACCAGAGCAGCCATCAAGTCAGATGCCAACATGATAGCAAAAGCTTTCATTTTTGTCTTATTTTATAGGCAGAACCACATACTATGTCTTCCCATTTCTCTTACTTGCAATTTTCTGAAACTATAGTCATTTAGAGTAAAAATTTTTGAGATGCACATCTGCTCTGGCCCAGTTTGCTTTGGAAAATGTCACCCAACATGGCTTAACTGTTTCTGAAAATGAGGGTGAAAAAGAGACCTTAAAGGCCTCTGTGACATCATCTTTGCTGTGCTTTAGTGCCTCCATGTTTTGTCAGGAATGGGTGGTCTTTGTAACCTATTAACTTTCTTTTTACCATTCCTAAGAAAATACTTCCCTCAAGCCCCAGTAAACTTCATCATCTCTTAGTCCAGGGATGCAAGTGAAATTCAGAAGAGGTGAAAAAGACAGTGAGGTGGGGAATGTGGGGGCAGTGAATCAGTCCATGAGCAAATAGGGATGAGGAAAGGTTAACTTAGTAACAAAGTAAGAGAAATAAGCATTGATAGTAAACAAGGGAAGAGAAGATGCACTGGATAAGACTGGATAGATCAGAAAAATGACACTGGGTTAAGGAACCGGGACGAGACACATGGGTCGAGGGGTGGGCATGTTCGTAAGGATGAATTAAAAGGGTCAGTCTTATGAGAGACAAAGGAGCATGAACCTGGAAGAGACTAGCTTTCGGTCTCCTTGAAATCCTGAATCTTCCCATCCTGGTGCCAGCACGTATCAGTGAAAATAACTTGCTTAAGCATGTGCCTCATCTCCTTTAGCTTTAGCTGCCATGTTGGCAGCCTGTGGGTTACACCTGTTATCTGAGGTGACAGAGGTCTGGTCTGTCCCTGCTGATGTGAATCATGGCAGTAGTTACAGTGTGCCACGTGATGGCATCCCTTTGTATGTTTTTCTAAAAGCTAGGAAATTGCACATAACAAGTTAGAAGTGTCTGATGAGCACTATAGAAAAGCCTGTAAAGGAATTAATCATTCTGCCTTCAGAACAGAGCTGGAATAATGTGCAGTAAACAAGGCTTTTAGGGCTGTGCATCAAATAAAAAGGGCAAAAAATAAAATACTGAATATCTGCTAGCTGAGTGATTTTTGTCCTGTGTACGGAGTGAGACAGTGTCCCTGTTGGGAGCTTAAGGCTGGGTAACAGGTGATAAATGCTGCATCTCCTCGAGGCCATCAGAAGAAGAATGGAAGCCTTCCTGAAATGTATGTATTAGTCAAGTACTAGCTGTACTTTTATTAAAAATACAAATTCTTGAACACAGTATGTTCAGTCCCCTACCAGAGGGAAATCTATGTCTTGGATGATGCAAGAGGCCAAACTAGATTATCAGCTAGTTCCAAGTGGCTTGAAACTAGGCAAGACACATAAACATAAATTAAATTCACACATGCTGTTTTGGTACTGGTCTCCCCAAACATTTGAATACGTTGTTTTCCCACTGTAGTAATACTGTTGTGGATGTGTAATAGTTTAGGAAAAGAAGGTCTGGGTGTGAGAATTACTGTTTGACTTAGTGCTGTTGTCAGCTAGCTGACCTAGTCCACTTTAAGGGAAAACTCTGCTGTAGACAGTGCCGATTCTCCCTGGCGTATCAGTATCAATTAGCAAAGTAGTCATGTCTCTTCCCTTGGGCGCTCGGAACTGGGTTGGCAGAGCTATATTTGGAAAATTCCAACCTGAAGAGCATTGCTGGCTTTACATGAAGGGCACAGATCTAGCAATGAATGACTCCATCCGGTGTCAGTAACTTCGCTTTTACACAGGGTAGAGTCACCACCATAATAAACACGAGCTCTTTCTGTGCATAGCTGAAAATGGCTGTCTCTTACTGTGACTGCAGGGTGTTTGCAATAGCTGTCAAACCAGGGTACTTTCCATATAAAGCACGCTGCTTCATGGACGAGCAGAACATACAGCAGGACTGCAGTGCTGAGGGCATCTGCTGAGGGCTCTGCCTCCTCCTGGGGGCTGCTGGCACTTGGTGTCTGACACTGTGGTTGGGAAACCCGCAGGCATATTGGAAATACCACATAGTTGTGCTGTTTCTTGCTAGCAGTTTGTAAGTGATGCCACAGGATCCACCGGTGGCTTTAACAAAGCAAGTACTACTGCCTAATACCTAATCCAAGGAAGCACATTTGTTGAGGAGTTCTGGTTTTAATTTGGAAGAAACACATGGAATTGTTTTTTTGGGGATATTGAGAGCATACTTGTGTAGCAAAGTACTCCTGGTGAGGTGTGGAGCTACTCCTTTGGTTGAACAGCTGCTGTCAGAAACAATTAGCTTGGCTTGGCCTGGCCCTTAGAAACTATACATCCTGTAAGACCACAGCTCTCTTTAGGAAATGTGACTTGCTAGGATTTCTTTTTCATATTTCTTCTTGTTCTGTCTCACACATTTGTCTTCCCTCCCTTTAATAGAATAGCCCTGTTCTTTTCTTCTTCTTCCTTCTGGAGCCTGTTTGCAAACATCATAGAGCACTTCACCCTCCCAGGCAGGCTGGTGGAGTTTCCACTGAGTAGGTACCGTGACTGGTCGAGAAAGAAGAGCTTAGCCCGTATCCCCTTGTCTTACACTGTGACTAGTCAGCAGTGCTGGGTGCTAGTCTCTGACAGCATACTTCTAAACCAAGTAACGACGGCTTAACTTCTCTCAGCGTGTACCAGATTTGGTTATACAACATCATGATATGCACAACTTTGGGATGGTGATAACAAAGCTGACACATGCCCAAACAAGTCAGAAAATACAACATAAGCCGGGCAGGTGACACTTCCTTGTAAAGCTATACACAAATCCACCTACCTGCATGTCACCAGAGAAAGACATTGAAATTTACTAGTTCCCAGTCACAGTGTGTTCAGTACCATTCTCCCTTTGGATTCAGAGGAGAAGAAAATCAATGCCAGCATGTTGGATTTGAGTCCTAAAGCTCCATACGTAATACTGCAAGATGAACTAAATACATATGGAGATATTCAGAAGACTCCTGCCCGGTATGCATCTCACACAGCGCTTTGTCATGTTAGAGCAAATCTCACATTTTAGTTCAGGGAAGAAGGAAGAGAATCCTGTATTTAAAAGGGAAGGAAATGGGCACCATCATCTCCATCACTGTGCCAGTTTTAATGAACACAACAAAAAAATACCGTTGAAACAAAGGAAAAAAGTTTCCCTTGACTCATACTTGAGTCTTACTGATTACAGAGGAAGATTGTAATGATTCCTCACTTCTCTTGAAGGCTGGGGCAAGGACGATAAGGTTGTTATCAGAATGCCTTGTAGTTGTCTGCACTGCCTCATCCCTATGCTGGATAGCAAAACAAAGTGACATATAGTGGGGTTGGTTTGGTGAGTTTATGTGAGTGTGAAAATGGAAAGCGGTCTTCACAACGCATTTGTGTTCTGTTGTAACCATGTAGACGGGTGAAAAATATAATCTAGTGAAAATGCATTTGATCTGTTCCATAGTCAAATACAATATACAGGTAACACCATATATTGTGCTAATCATGACAGTTCTGCTTTTTCTTAGACTGTCACCTGCGCCACAAAACCTAAGGTTGGCAGCCACACCAAGTGAATCTGAGGCTAATAACCAGGATTTTTTGTCTGCAGGTAGATACTAAATGTGCCATTGGCATGACTCTTCTGGGTCAGACCAGAGGTTCAACTGGTCCTTTTCTCTAGCAGCAGCATTAAAGAGTGAGAGCAGGTCAGGCATATATGGCACTTCTAAGGTTATGACCTAGCTCAGGGACATCCTGAAGTAGACATTGATTCTGCTTGCTTAGTAATTCACAGTGGATTTCCGCTTCATGAACTTGTCTTGAGCCTGTGCTAGCTTTCAGCATTCACAGTACCCTTCAGCAATGAGACCCGCAAGTCTGCTCTCTGCTCTACAAAGAGCTACCAAATTTTGTGTGTTCTTGGTGCAGCTCTTCCTAGCCATGCTGGTGCATGTTCTCATTTTGGAAGATGTAACACACCACTGATTCTTACTCGTCCCATCTTTCACTA